AATCTAATCAATCTGTTAGTGAAAAAACCACGAACTCTTCCATCGAATTACTAAACCTACCTCACATGCTACCTTGCCTTTCAGCTGTACACGAGACTGTTCATCTATGAACCCTAGTTCTCTCAGTACCTGGATACGTTGTTCGTAATCTGGCAAAAGCTGAAGATTTTGATCGGACATCAATTGCTTCAACTGCGAAATGTTCTCTTTGACTTGCCACTCGTCGTGTTGCATCTCGAACTGTTTGATGTAAGCATGTTTCCCTCGCTTTTCAGACATACATGTCCACCTACATGTTTCAAGAAGTCCGGACATTGCAAGCATTTGCAGGACTCGGCAATTGTTGCCTGGGCTTGTCGTTTTTCTAGTATGTCCCTCACCTGCAATTCTTTGATTCGAGTCCAGTCTATCTCGTCCCAAGCGGTGCTCGTCCACGATCCGCAGTATTTATGCAGCTCTTTGTCGGCAAATTTGATGGCCTCCTTCTTGATATTGAGATACCACGTTGGACCAGTTAGCTTCACCATGGTATTGGTGAGACATTCCAGATCAGAGAGTGGTATCTTGCAAACTTTCAGGGTCATATCAGCTCCACGGGTTGGTAGAGTCTGGAACAGATGTCGGAATTTAGGAAGGAAGGGGAGGATATCACTTGGATGACGTCTGCCACCTAGTTTGCCGATTTCGAGAATCTGCACGGTGGGCGTGGGCCCTCCGCCAACCCCTTCTCGGACGATAATACCAGCCGTCCGATATCCATCCTTTCTGTAAACGACTAGCCGCTTGGGCATAAAGAGACGCTTACCGACGGGAGAGGCAAGCAACCCAACATACAGCTCACTTGTTAGTTTTCCGTACTCCATAGCTGCATTATGACAAGTCACAAGATCAATGTCACAGATATCGCAAGGCTCACGCTTAATCTTAGCCAAGCTGGCTTCTGATAGTTGAACCTGTTTCTCATGCTCTGGAAGCAAAGCCTGCGTGGCATTTTCACTAAAACTGCGCTTGATCATCTCTTCGATCCTCAAAGCTTCAACACGCAAGAGATTCAAAATCATGTTATAAGTGAGCCTGAATTGGGATCGAAGTTTGGTCGGTTCACCGAGGATCATCCGCTTCAAAGCACCGGCAGGAGGTGCTTCATCTTTACCAGTGCTCGTAATGATCACATAGCCGACAGTATCAAGGCCTCTTCGCCCAGCACGGCCGGCCATCTGGGTGTATTCACCTGGGAGCAGGTCTCTGAAGCCTTTACCATCATGTTTACGGAATCCTGAGAAAACCACCGTACGAGTTGGTAGATTCAGTCCCATAGCAAACGTCTCTGTTGCGAAAAGAACCTTAACCAATGATTTGGCAAACAGGATTTCAACAATCTCTTTCATAATGGGCAGAAGACCTCCATGATGAACAGCAATTCCTCTGCTTAGCAAGTCGCGAAGGCGAAGTATCTGCGGGAGCGTCCTATCTTCGGGCTTAAGGCGGGTAAGTGACTTTTCGATAAACATGTGGGTAAGACTTTTCTCCGACGCATTACAGAAGTCCTGGTTTGAGAGTGAATCCGCGTTCTCCTCACATCTTTTCTTGGAGAATACGAAAATACAACCAGGGAGCAAATTTTCTTTGCGGAGATGTTGGACAAGTTGTACCCAGACAGTCTTATCCTGTGCAGCTGTTGTCCGTCCTCCACCTCTTCCTGTACGAGCAATATTCCCGGTACCCCTAGTGGCTGGCTGCCCTCTACCACGCTGAGCACCACCCCCGCGTTGAGCACCTCCACGCTGTGAATTGCCGCGAGGGCCGCCTCTACCAGGAGCTTGACCGCGCCCTCTTCCCTGCTGACCGCCTCTCTGAGCTTGAGATTGAGCCTGAGCCTCGGCAGCTTTTTGAGCTTTGATCTTATCTCTGCCAGAGATAACGTTATCTGCTTCTTTCCAACCGCCTTCCAGGAATCGCTTATTTGAGTCGACGATTTTGAATTTATCTTTACCAGCCCACAAATAGTGCTCGAGCGGGACAGGTCGTTTCGCAGTCGAAATAACATAAATATCCTTCTTCTTCGTGCGACCCACCCAGGAGGCAAATTCATGAGTGTTAGGGACAGTAGCAGATAGAAGAATTAGGGTGACATGTTCAGGAAGCATGATGATCACTTCTTCCCAAACGACACCTCTTTCGAGATCATTAACATAATGTACCTCATCAAAGATCACAAACTCGACATCTCTAATCAGATCTGCTCCACGATAAAGCATACTTCGGAGAATTTCAGTGGTCATGATCAGGCAGCTTGCTTCTGGGTTGATCTGGACATCACCCGTAAGGATACCAACATCGTCGAATGTAGTCCTAAAATCCCTAAACTTCTGATTACTGAGAGCCTTGATAGGCGAAGTGTAGATAGCCTTGGTCATATGCTTGGCAGCCAAAGCAATGGCATATTCAGCAACAACTGTCTTTCCAGCTGACGTATGTGCCGCGACAAAAACGGAATCACCGCTCTCCAAATGGTAGACAGCCTCTTTTTGGAAGGTATCCAGTTCAAAGGGCCACTCTCTAGCCATATCCGGCACAAGCTCGCTGAAATTTGGAATGTCTTTGTTAACATCCACAACATGCGCCCATTCCCTACCACCTTTCTTCTGGACACCCGATAACAGAGGAGCACGGGGTTCCAGTGCTGGGAACTCAACTGGCAGTAATGAATCTATATCCTCCTCATCTCCGCTCAGCTCATCGTCTTCAATCTTCACTCCTCCAACATCTGAAGCCGTGTCGTCCTTTTCAACTGGGAGGTCAGCTTCCTCCTGCTGGAGGACATGTTCGACTTCTTGATCATTCTCAGCAGCTTCTTTTGACTTTGCTACCTCGAATTTCAGGCCACGACTGAATCCTGGGGCGACTTCTAGGAGACCACCCTCAGCGCCGAAGTTAATGATCCGGTCAAGGCCAGATTGTTTGCCTCCCGGCCTCGAGCTATCTGCTGTCTGGGCTTCGGATTCCATTTCAGCGATAGCCTCAACACCGTCAAGTCCACCTGGCGCGAAGGGAAAGAATCCAGCGGCGCCCCTGACGAAATCTGCGCGACCAGCTGGTCGACGAAGCAGAGATGTTGAGTTCTTTGCATTTGCACTGGTGGCAGGAACTGTGACTTCATGATAGCCAGTGACACGCCCTTCTAGACCCTCACGGTCAAAACGAACAACAGTTCGTGTTTGGGTCGGTGCGACCTCAAAAAGGTCCTTGTAGTCCGTCGACACGTCCCATCGTCTGCAAAATTGTCAGCAAATGGAAGGGCCAGAGTGGGGCATCGAATAAAGAGAAAACATATGGCAAGTGGTCTCCCAGACCTTTGTAGACGATTCAGCCATTCAGGGCTAAACTGAGATGATGGAGTCAGGAAGTCAGCCTCCAGCTCTTTAAGAAGATCTTCAGCATTTTGGCGGGCTCTTGGCCGAGGACTCCGGTTCTGATATTGACCACTTTCTTCTTCCGCAATTCGCTCATCAAAAGCCGATCCGCTAAGACCCTGTGCATTCAGGTTTAGCTCAGCTAGAGTGGCAGCGAGAGCTTCTGCCTGCGCCATCGGGGGGTAGAAGTGACAGTCCCAGAAATACTTATTTGGAGAGCTGGTTAGGGACACCCTATCAATTCCAACAAAAATTCAGATATTACGTTAGTCACAAAACCGTTGTAACTAACTGCTATCGTAGAGAAGCAACGTACTGTCACCCGTGCCTGCGAAATTCACCGAGAATGTCCCAGAAGCAGTTAGTTGGCTAAAGGTAGCCAACATTCACAGGTTGAGGTGGGAAGAAAGAAAGGTACTTCATTCGTTGGCGGTGTTTAGCGGCGGAACACACAAACGCTGACGTCGTGTGGGGACATAAATGGATTTTAGGCCAAATTCATGTCGACCTTCGGACTATATCTCGATCTGGTAGATATATTTAGTATACAATGGTTACAAAGCCCCTACTACCCTCGTTAGTATTTGCTGGCAATTTCTTGTTGTTCGATTTTAGGTCATTTTTTCTCTTCCCCTTCCAAAGTGGGGTACTGTAGGTCGGCCTCAGGAAGTGGGTTTTAATGTCCACTGCAATTTCATATTTAAGGACTTCAATTTTTTCAACAAGTTGGTTACCCAGTAGCGCCGTACCCCGATATTTTAGAAAGATGTATCCTTTCTAGCTAAAATCTTGCCTTGAAATACATAGTAGTACGGCATGTATTCGACCAGAAGTGCTACCTAAACAGTAGCTAAAATAATAGCATTGTTATACCCGTCTCCAGCCCTGTGACACCCATATCTGCGGACGTTGAAAAGCTAGAAAGTATGCGAAATCAACTCCTTTTAGCAGAATGGGATATAACGACTACTCAAGTCCGCATCGGCGAGCTAATTAAGCATGAATGAGATCTCAAGATCATCTTAACAATTTGGTAGAGCGTGATTAAACAGCTAAGTGGTGTACATAGGAAAGCAAAACCGCTAACAGCAGAATTAACTAGACGAAACAATAGCAAATCTACTAAGAATACTCTGGATCAACCAGCACGTGTTTTAGTATAATTTCAAGATACATTTCAACGCGCGTAGGGTCATCGTAGATCAACCCGGGGCAACGACACCTAGCTAGTTATTACTAGTAGATTTAGGCAATTGATCATGCGCGGTCAATGTTATTCCGTACTTCGCAATTCAAAGAAAGGTTATATATATAAGTCTAGTGCTAGTATTCTTGTGCTGTCCTTTTATTTAACCTATTAAGATAGAAAAGGAGATAAGAAGACAACCAAAAGAAAATGAAAAAGACCCCCACTACCGCATGCGTTGAAATTAAAATCGAACTAAACAATCCGAAGATAAAAAAAAAGTTCCTGGAAGGGGAATGCTTGGAGTCCGAGTCCGGACTCGATCCCAATCGCTGCTCTCGACCGCATTCCCCGGATCGACCGCCAAAAGTCCTGTGTCAAGTCTTACGTCATCCGCCCATGACTCCCCCCGAAAGTCATGATCGCACTGGGGGACAAGGTTGTCAAGTAAGAGCGGTGATCTCTTACTTTACTTGGGCTGAGAGCTCAAGCTTAACTACATCGAGCTATCGCTTCCTACCCAACGTTTTAAACATTCTCACAGCAATAACTCGCCAAACCATTCTCCGATTGCGTTCGTACCACTCCTCTACCTCCACGTTGACGACTCAGCGGGCTTATCCCTTTCAGCTCTACTGCATCCACCTTCCTTGTGGTTCGTCTTGATTGTGCCCTCCGCCATTCTCGCAACGCTGCTACCTAATGGGAATCGATATATCCAACGATGTCACCTTAGTCTAGCCTCGATCTCTAACCATGACTACGGATTCTGCGCTTACGTTGGTCTTACCCCATGCTACGAGTAATGATGTATACCTACGTTCCGCCTCAACTAACGCCTGCCCTGCTATTCTAGGTACCATTCGACCGAGTCTCTAATCCTTCCGAAAAAGCGACGCTTCTTTCCCTTCAAAATCCCAATTTTGTCAGTGTCCTAGACTTAGCGCAACATGGTCGCACGCTTAGTTTGAACTAACAATCAACTAGCCATCCACAACTTCACAATTATATTAGCACCGCCGACCCTGATAGGATTTACGTTGTCGTCGACAGAGTCATATATTCAATTCACATATCATCGCAAAAACGAGAGACCCTAGCTGTTATCCCGTTTGAACCGAGATGTCTTGCTGCGGGCTACGGTTGGATCGCCGTTGGAGGTAATGAGAACGGTGAATGTGCTTTTATCAAGATCTCCGAAAGGGGAGTGCGTGTACGAGAGGACACATCAACTTCTCAACCTTCAGATATTGACAGTGCCTTGCCGATTGATCTTGGTGCGCCTACAAGAATCTCCCAATCCTGGCTTTCTGGCGACCAACCGGATTCAGTACAGGATGCCGATCAAAGGCAACTGCCGGATGTCCAGCTGCATAAATTTGGTGGCGAGATCGTTAACTCCGTGACCATCCACCGGCTACCTGGCGATGGAAAAGGCTTAGCGGATGAAGACATTATCATTCTCAGGTATTGCGGTCACATCCTACCGTCAATCCACTGTCGTGCTGATGAATCCTGCCAGTAATAATGATAGGTCGGTCACCGTTTATTCTCTGACCCGCTCGAAGGTTCTCAAGGTCCTCAATCACCCAGCATGCATGAATTATGCGATCGTCTCTCCAGACTCTACCATCCTGGCCGCGGTTGGTGATGAAACCCGAGCGTATTTCTATGATATTACCCGGGATTTTGATACAACCGTCCTGACAGAAAGTGGCGAAAAGCTTACTGGCTGGAACTGGGACCCTCTCCGCTCCATTGAGATGGATATCGGCACTCGGATCGACGATGGTTGCTGCTTTGCTATTGCATTCTCTCAGTTTAGTCGACTGTGCGCCATTGGGTCTCAATCCGGGGTTATTACCGTGTTTGATGTTAAAACGCTTCGGGATATTACCCACGAACCAGATGAGAAAAGCTCAATAATATGTCATTTCAATTCTTCAAGGCTCTGTTGCAATGGCGGTGCTGTGCGCTGTATGGCTTTTGCGCCCGAACCTTGGGACCTTCTGGTGTGGCTTGAAGACAAGGGCCGGGCTGGAATTGCAGATGTTCGCCAGGGTTTTCTGCGCAGGCAGATCATCAATTTGGACAACGATGATCCCGAGATAGAGGAAGTTCGTACTAACCCAATATTGGACGATTCGGTGGGCTTGGAACTTGAGATTGATGGTCGGTTCAGCCCAGGATCTGGCGCAGATGCAGGACAGCGAGCCGCCCTGGGATCCATTAACACTCCGCCAAATGAGTTGGTTGGGGAGACGTCCGACAATCCGCCGTTGCGTGATGCTCTGTTACAGGATCTCACCGACAGGGAGAGGTTGATCGTAGAGTTTCTGAACACAGCTCGTTGGACCTCAAGGCTGGAAGAGGGTTTAACAGAGAGACGAGCCAGGGCTAATGCTCATCCACATCCTGCACCACGCTTGCGATTCCAAGGTTCCACAGATGTGTCCAATCGCACTTCTCGTCCCACTTCGCCCCTTCGCCATGGAGATTCGCTCCAGGACTCTTCGCGAGATAGCACCTCTGCACAGCCAGGCACCAGCGAGCGCAGACACAATGCTAGACGTCAAGCTTCTGTTATCCTATCCCAGGGCAACTCCGAAACACGCAATAGAACTCCGGAGGCGGGCAGCTCAAACATAGAAACACAGCCAAGCATTACCCTCAGTTGGACTGCTTCGCCCTCCGAGATACAATCGATCGTATCCGACACTCGTCAGCGTGCTGCCGACTCGTCGAGTGATCAGAGTAGTTCTAGTGGTAACGAAACGGGCGTAGGAAGTCGGAATTATGGGACTTTAGGGCGCCCTTCCGCCACTTTTGACTATTCCACAGCCCCTGTAGAGTCGATACCACGGCCGCGGGACCATCAGCGATCCCGTTCCGGGCACAGGCATACTGAGAGACAGGACAACCTGGCTGGTACCCGACACGAACCTTTACGTGTATCAAACACGGAACTAAGAACCAACGTGGCGGCAGAGCGCCTTCGACGACAAAGACAGGTCGTCAACGAAACACATAATCGCAACCATCCGCGGTATCGACAGCAGATATTAGGCATCGATAACACCCGCTCTCCTCGCTGGATTAGGAGTATCTTAAACGAGCTTCCAGACCGTAGTTTGGGAATTGGACAAAGAGATCAGGGGCCAGGGAGTGCTGCTGGAATTGGGTGGGGTGCAGACGGCAGAACATTGTAGGTTCCCAGCGTACATTCACGATGACAATGCTAACTTGCATAGGTACGTCGCGACTGTCGATGGTATATTCGAATACCAGATTAACATTTCGGACCGAAAAACATTCCCCGTTGTCAATTACCGCTAAATCATCACTCTGTTTCAAGGTTTTGTTTCACAGCTGAGCTGTGACTCTTTCACTTTTCTATTTGGCGCTGCTTAATGTTGAAATAATATGGCCCGGTAACCTTTCTGAGAAAGGATTCTGGTTCCTTCGCGTACCTTATCATGGCGATAGTGGCAGAAGGTTACGATTGACGGTGTTGGTGTTGCAGCTTGTTGTCATTTCCTCTGTTTTCGAGTTTGGGCTTGATGTGCAATCTCCCGCATCATCATATCTTGGAGATACCATCTATTTTCACATTCGCTTCTCCCTTTCCTTTCCTCGCCAAGTTTGCTTCGTTATCTGACTCGGTTAAGGATTCACACTACTCGTCATCTTCAGGGGCGTCCATTCGTGCATGGTTGATTCAGTTGTCTCGTTGCATTGGCTTCAGGCGTTTGGGAAAGGAGATGGGTCGCAGTATATGCAAGGATAGTTATAGTATTGCGTGAAAAGTTTCCCTGTATTTCTGGATCAGCGCTATGTAAAAATGGGTCAGAATGATTGAAAACAACATGACCTCCGAGGCTAAAGCGGGCAGTAGACTTTTTAATTTGGATGTGTACGAAGAAGCAATAACTGGAAATATTATATGTACTTGTTTGCGTGCAAAGCTAAACACACAATATCAAGGCACTGTTCCATCAATAGGAAGTGCTACTAGGAAGAAACCACGCACAACCTCAGCAGATCCTAGCCACAAGTCCTGAGGCAAGCCAAGGTTAGTCATACGATAGTACTAGTTGTACATAGATCAAACGCTCGTCGCCACAGTCTGCACATATAGTTCCATATGGCCTTTTTCTGGTAGTTATGGTCTAGGCCTGGAGGTGGCCTGGAAACCATTGAGATAAGAAACATCATTGATTCCTTGCGATTAGAGGTACAATCTATAGACTTTTCCCCCTCGGGTCCTCCGTGCATGTTTAGGTATAGGATGATGTTGTAAAAAAAGCAGCGCTATACGTCAGAACCTTCCTTTTGTTACTTCTTCCGCTTATGCGGTGTAAACAAGAGGGGATACAAGGCTCGTTCAAAAACTGCATAGATGTATCTACTTCCTGGTTCCTCTGAGTTTGAATGAAAGCTCTGTTATTCTCGAATATATATATACCTGTGTTTAGTTTCTCTATATACTCGACAGCGTCTCGACACCTATAGGAGACAGCCCGATTCTATTGGATTAGAGTGAACCCGAACCTTCATTGACGAAACTTACTACCTAGATGATAGGCACCATGTATTCGGCAAGTTCATAATGACATGTGTTGGGCTCGGGGACTCATTGTTGAGATACTTCTAGAAACAGCTAGCGTTCATATATGATGAATCAACATGGACGGGTAGATAAGATATAGGAGCATAGAATTTTTTTTCCTCTTTCAAAAAGAAATTTTTAAAGAAAAAGCAACTTGGCATTGCGGCGTTACTCCAAATGGAGAATGGTAAAAAGTAAAACAAAGAAAATAGACTGAAAGGCAAGGAAACAAAAAATAAAATAAAAGGAAATTTCCTCGGCTTTGCTTCTCTGGTATGTACATACCGGGTGGCCAATGTACAGCACCAATATGTCGCCACAGTACTCCGTACGGAGTACATGATAGCTCCATTCGAAAGATTGAGATAATGACAAGCACACGTTCTAGGTTAGTTGAGAAAGAGATTTAATCAGATGAAACGAAACAATTAGTTTTGACACTGGCCCATTCTCTATTCTACGTGTGCTATGCGTAGGGGTCTTCTCCCTGCTATACCTACTCCGTATATTGGCAGCAAAAAAGAAGAAAAAATAAAGCTCCACCATATCAGCAATTGATCCTATAGTTGTATAGATCTTCTTGTACAGTTCACAAATCAAGACTAAGCCATGTTTGATCCGTTAAACGGTCTAGGATATGGGATCAAAAAATCCATATTGACTCGGACAAAAGCCTCCACACCTCCAGCTATCCATTACGGAGTCTTCCTACTAACTCCGTAGTGTCACTCGTAGGAATGGGACTCTCTCCGGCGGGAAACACAGCTCTAGTAGGTGGCGAAGCCGATTGGCTCGGTTACCCAGGCGGTCAAAAGGCAGCCCGGTTACTCATTGGTGGCCAGCTACGCTGCTGTGATTCTACCAACTTCGACGACGGGCCGAAGCTCTCCGTGACAATTTTTACTACTGCCGGTCTCCCTTCTTTTTATGTTTCCCTCTCCCCCGGAAAAGACCTGAAAACCATCATCTCCTTTTAATCACTCCTCACCCTCTCAACCTACCCTTTTTTCTCTCATCTACATCTCATCTCTCCCTTCGATTGAGTCGATTGGAGTTTCCTATATTTTCTTTTAATTTGTGTATTATTTATCTTTCTTTAATTCCCAATCACAATGTTGCCATCGCGTATCACCCGCGCGGTATGTCTTTTCTTCCCAACAAGCAGGCCTTCGCATAATGCATTCGAGATCAAAACTGACTTAGCTTTGCATTTAACAGCTCCCGCGCACTGCTTTCACCCGCGCCGCCGGTCTCAGAGTCCCCAGCACATCCTTCCGGAGATGGAACTCCACGGAGGGTGGTGAGGAGAAGGTGAAGGGCCAGGTCATCGGTATTGACTTGGGTATGTTTGGTCCAAACAAAACCAATTCATCAAAATAAGCTTCTAATGAATATCTTTAGGTACCACCAACTCTGCTGTCGCTGTCATGGAGGGAAAGACCCCCAAAATCATTGAGAACGCTGAAGGTACGTGAAAATTTTTTCTCGTCGTTGGGAGCTCGGCATATGATTGGTGAGCTCTGCGGCTAACATACAATCAAAAGGTGCCCGCACAACTCCTTCCGTTGTCGGTTTTGCTCAGGATGGCGAGCGTCTCGTTGGTATCGCTGCCAAGCGTCAGGCTGTTGTCAACCCCGAGAACACTCTTTTCGCCACCAAGCGTCTCATCGGTCGCAAGTTCACCGATGCTGAGGTTCAGCGTGACATCAAGGAGGTTCCCTACAAGATCGTTCAGCACGACAACGGCGATGCCTGGGTTGAGGCTCGCGGCCAGAAGTACTCCCCCTCTCAGATTGGTGGTTTCGTCCTCAACAAGATGAAGGAGACTGCCGAGAACTACCTCAGCAAGCCCGTTAAGAACGCCGTCGTCACTGTTCCTGCCTACTTCAACGACTCCCAGCGTCAGGCTACCAAGGATGCCGGTCAGATCGCTGGTCTTAACGTCCTCCGTGTCGTCAACGAGCCTACTGCTGCTGCCCTTGCCTATGGTCTGGAGAAGGAGGCTGACCGTGTCGTCGCTGTCTACGATCTTGGTGGTGGTACCTTCGATATCTCCGTTCTGGAGATCCAGAAGGGTGTCTTCGAGGTCAAGTCTACCAACGGTGACACTCACCTTGGTGGTGAGGACTTTGATATCAACCTTGTTCGCCACATCGTCCAGGAGTTCAAGAAGGAGTCTGGCCTCGACCTCTCCGGCGACCGCATGGCTATCCAGCGTATCCGTGAGGCCGCTGAGAAGGCTAAGATCGAGCTTTCTTCTTCTCTCCAGACCGAGATCAACCTTCCTTTCATCACTGCTGATGCCAGCGGTGCTAAGCACATCAACCTCAAGATGACTCGTTCCAACCTCGAGTCTCTCGTTGACCCCCTCATCAGCCGCACTGTTGAGCCCGTCCGCAAGGCCCTGAAGGATGCCAACCTCCAGGCCAGCGAGATCCAGGATGTCATCCTTGTTGGTGGTATGACCCGTATGCCCAAGGTCACTGAGTCTGTTAAGTCCATCTTCGGCCGTGAGCCCGCCAAGTCGGTCAACCCTGATGAGGCTGTTGCCATTGGTGCCGCTATCCAGGGTGCTGTCCTTGCTGGTGAGGTCACCGACGTCCTTCTCCTTGATGTCACTCCTCTCTCTCTCGGTATCGAGACCCTCGGTGGTGTCTTCACCCGTCTGATCAACCGCAACACCACTATCCCCACCAAGAAGTCCCAGACCTTCTCTACCGCTGCCGACTACCAGACCGCCGTCGAGATCAAGGTCTTCCAGGGTGAGCGTGAGCTCGTCAAGGACAACAAGCTGCTCGGAAACTTCCAGCTTGTTGGTATCCCCCCTGCCCACCGTGGAGTTCCTCAGATTGAGGTCACTTTCGACATCGATGCCGACAGCATCGTCCACGTCCACGCCAAGGACAAGTCCACCAACAAGGACCAGTCCATCACCATCGCCTCTGGCTCCGGTCTCTCTGACTCTGAGATCCAGTCCATGGTTGAGGATGCTGAGAAGTATGGTGCTCAGGACAAGGAGCGCAAGTCTGCTATTGAGGCTGCCAACCGTGCCGACAGCGTCTTGAACGACACTGAGAAGGCTCTCAAGGAGTTCGAGGACCGCCTTGACAAGGCTGAGGCTGAGCAGATCCGTGAGAAGATCTCTACTCTCCGTGAGTTCGTTGTCAAGAACCAGTCCGGCGAGGGCACCGCCACTGCCGAGGAGCTTAAGCAGAAGACCGATGAGCTCCAGAATGCCAGCTTGACCCTTTTCGACAAGATGCACAAGGCCAACGCTGAGCAGCAGCAGTCCCAGTCTGGCGAGGCCAACCAGGGCGAGAACAAGGCCTAAATATACCACCACTGATTGCCCCTATTCCTGAAAAGGTTCATGGTTGATCGAATCCCTGTATCTCTCCTATATCCTCCTTTTCGTCTCGTCTAGAGATTTCTCTCTTCACCGTTGTTTTAACACGCATATGATATGTATACATACCAATAGTTTTGATTTCTATGCCCTCTGCTCGGTGTATGGGTGTTTGTTGTTTTATACTCGTTTGTACTGGAACCGGTTGCCTTCATACCTTTTTGGGTCGGATGAGCATACTTGAAACGTTTCTTTTTCTGTTTGTTGGGAGGCAATCCTTGACGGATTCAAGGATTGTCTACACTTGTAACTTTAATGACATTTAACGGCTGGGGACCACGAAAAAAGGGTTTATCCGGAGCATGTGTTAATAGAATAGGAAATTCTCCTCTCGATTCAACAAACTTGACTTTTTTTCTTTTGATTTCATTCCACAGATCTTGAGTAGGCAGCGTTTCTTACTATGAAACCAGATATGCCTGAGCTGGAAAGTTTCCTTGTGTTCAAAAGACCTAGAGTCGTAGCCCATAATTTCCCTACCCCGTTTGCATTCTGGAAACGTTCAGAATTCTCCCAAGTGGGCCGAAGGTGCGCGCGTTCAACGGAATAGTGTATCCTTGATGATGACCAGCGTTGCCGCTATTTTCTCATTCCTTTTGCTTTTCTTTCTTCGTACAGATTATCTGCATTCGGGGTTGGTAATCCTCTGGTTTCCTTTTTCCCTTTGCTTGTTTCTCTTAATCAAGAAATTCTACACACCATGCTAGCCAACTGTCCCTACATACATGTACATAGTACAGGAAATAATTTACAGAGTACATACATTCGACCAGCCCAGGTAGAACAATGAGTAATATCTGCAAAAACTCAGAAGAAAAAAAAAAAAAAGGAAACAAAAAGAAAACAACAAAAACCCTAGATTAACTAACCCAAGCGGTATAGTTTCCTCGAACTAAACTCGAGCTGAAGCAGATTGGACCCAACCTTTGG